TATCCTCAGTTTTCGTTAAGAAAAATTCATCAAAACTGGAAAAGATGTGAAGAAGCCTCCAATAGATAAGGTCCTCTAGATATGGTACTAATATAAAAAGCTAAACTCCAGACCATAACTTACATAACAAAAAGATATTATTTAGCAATTTAATGTCCGAGGAATCATGGTTAAACTTTGATCAATCCTTGAATAAAAGACAGAAGGGTATCAAAGTACACATATAAATTAAATTTTGATCCTTTAGCTGGGAAACTCAAGAAGTCATCATGTGACCCTTGTGTGTCAATCAACTCTGATAATATTTGCTTCTCATATCATTTTAAACTTCCCCAGCTATTGATCTGGGCCCTATTCATACTCCAAGCATTCAAGCTTGAAATTTTCACATCTTGAGTTCCATTGTTAAATGCATATAGGTGGGCTTCTTCATTAACAGCAAACTTTGGATAAACTCTGGTGGTGATACAAGTTCTTCCCTCCCCAGCAAAACTCTCAATTATGGAGTGGTCTATCTGCAAAAAGTTAAAGCAACATAAATTAGATCAAGAGACCACCAAGGAACCATGGTAAATAAATATTTACCCACCAAGCTTCTTAGTGAAATCTTCTCTTGGCGAGGATCAATGCCTACAAAGCTTCCATATGCTGTTCTATCTGTCTCTTTCTTCATAGAGGACCTGGGAACACATTAAGTCTTTACATCGAATCAAAATGCAGTTTTATCATTATCATTCTTCATAAAAAACCTGTGTACACATTAAGTCTTTAACATTGAATCAAAATGTTGTTATATCTGTATTTTCTTCATAAAAAACCTGTGAACAGATCAAGTCCTCAACATTAAATCAAATGATTAGCAACCAACCTGCTCTGATCATTGCACATTAGTACTACATATCCTTCATGCCCTTTAAAAACCCGAAAGAAAATTGCAGTCTGCTCTGCCAAGTCCTTTGTTGCCAAAGTTAATAACCCAAAGGGTCCAAATCTACCACTGACAGATGCATCTCCATTGGTACAGATTTCTTGGGGATCAACCTGACTTGAGATCATGAACTCAGCCTCTTCTAGTTCAGGCAATTCAAACACGATTTCAACATCGGCCTTGCACACAATATGTTAAGGAAGAAGTCATGATAGGGCAAAATACTTCAGAAATTGACTAGAGAACAATATTGATCATAACTACTTACCTGTGCAGCGGTAATGCCTGAAATTTCAAAAGCTGATCCATTTTCAAGCTGAAAATCATGAATACTGACTAGATTGTTATGTAGACCATTTATTTCTTCTACTGGCCACTGCACTAATTGCTTTCCTGTTCTATCAAGCCAAATTTGCCGAGGAATTGACTGCAAAGCAAATTCAAAACACCATTTTTAGTGCACTACATTACATTTATCATTTCTTACAAATTTCCTAAATTTTGGAGTAAAATCACCTGAAGTCCAGACCAGCCTTTCTCCAAATCATCTTTTGCACTATCAGATTCATTTACCCAACCCCATAAAATCCTCCTGTTTTTGACATTGTCAAAGAATGTCTTTGAGGCATAGAATTTTCCATAATCATATCTCAAGTCTAGACTGGTTCCTGTGAAGTTTATGTAAGGAAGAAATATGTCTGCCTCAGGAACATATGTCCCCAGCATGTAGTAGTCATGAGAATTGAAGCCTGCCTTCATCACATGCCTAACACTTGGATTCTGGACTGAAGTGTCAACCCCATTTGTGCCATTAACAGACACAGGATAGAAATCTGGGCATTCCCACATCCCCGTTTCTCCTGATGAATAAAGAGGCTCTTGAGACTTAGTCCAATGAAGAAAATCCTCACTTTGATAGAGAATCACTTTGTTTAGGCTTCCAATGATTACTCTCCATTTCCCATCAAGACCCTTCCAGGCAGTTGTTGGGTCTCGGAATTCATCAACTTTAACTCCATCTGGTGGAGTCATCAAAGGATTCTTAGAGTACTTGACCCATTCTATCAGTAGTGGATCTGACAGATTCTTCGGTATAGCCAGGTTCTGAACCTGCTGATTATTAGAATCAATTCCAGTGTATAAAATCACTGGTTTGTTCCCTGGAAGGATTGTAGCAGAACCAGACCAGCAGCTGTTTATGTCAAATGGCTCAGATGGGCGAAGGGCTGGTTCCAGGTTGAACCAGTCGATGAGATCATAGGATACAGAGTGTGCCCATATCATTTTATCACCAAAGCATACACCATGTGGATTGTATTGGTAAAACAAATGATAAAGTCCCTTATAATACATTGGGCCTGCATTTTATTTGAATGATCAAAAGTTGCTTCCCATCTGCTCAATTTATCTAGACAATGAATTATTGAATTTCCATTAACAAAAGAGAACCAAACAAAAAATAAAAATTATTTCTTGAATTGAATATTAGATCTTTCAACATTCGGATCCATGTTTTATTGTTCTAACAACTCTTCAAGCCAAAAGATAAAAAAAGTGAGGAAAAAATTCTAAAGTTGTCGACTTACCATTAGGGTCTGCATGGTTGAAAGGCACCCATTTATCCCACCGTTGAAGCAGGCCAGTTGACATCAACAGAGATTGAAAAATGAAAATTCATCACATCAATATAAGGGAAAACAATCAGTAAGGAATACTAAAAAAGATACAAAATGGGCAAGATTTTTGTACCATTGAGCCAGTTTTGATGGGGTTGGAAGTGATAAGCAGTTCTGTAAGGCTGCTGAGATGGAAGCTCAACCTGGAGGGATTGGATGCTCTGGAATGTCTGCTGACATCCGTCCCCTTGAACTCCATTGCTTAGCAGAAAACAAGAAAACCCTACAAACAAAACTGCAGACATACACATGATGCCTGAAAGGAGAAAGAACCCAAATGGCCCCGAGAAGAGATCAAAGAAAACAACGCATGAAATTAATGGCTTTTGTTAGTTTTGTGTAACGAATCATGTCAGAACACAGAGAGGAATCTTCATCTGGGGTTTTCCCCCTCACACCTGTTTGGTGTATAATCTAACAGAAACTGGCCCAGAGACAATTGATTGAAGTCCTAGGACTAATAAAATCCTTTCTTCTTTTCTTTTTTTAATTTTTTTTTTTAATTTTTTATTTCATGATGGGAAGAACAACAGGGCAATTCATCAACCCTGATTTGAAAGTTCAAAGAGTTACTAGGAAAAAGTGGTGTTTAAAGCAGGAATAAATTGGTGATGGATGATTCTTTGATTTTACCGGGAAAATATTGTCCAATTAACTGGTGCCACCTTGAAATTTTTTTGGCCTTTAGGTCCCACTTACATCATGCTCTACGAATCATGACTCCTTAAAGAGCCAGATAAATTGATTGTCCACGACTTCTTCTTGTGTGGTTCATGTTACTCTATTCGAATCTTTCATGAGTTTTTTTTTTTTCTTTTTACTTAGGGAAATTGTTGAGATAGAGAAAATAGTACCAAAGAATAAAATATCAAAACTTTCACGGCACATTTTTATAAAGGAGATAATCATTATATTATACAATGTCGAACAATCTTTCATGAGTTTTAAGTCGTACATCATGCAGTTAAAATTAACAACTCAACATGAGTAGGCTGCCGTTAACCTGAAAACAAAAATATCTGGGAAGAACTTTTTTTTTTTTTTTTTTTCTCTCGTAACCTATTGGATCATGAACCAAGGGTTTGTTTGGTTTGGAAAAACGTTTTTTCCATCTACCTGAAGATAGGGGATAATTTAGTAATTTCACACTTTAATAATGTAATAAATAAAGAGTAAAATTAACATTATTTTTTTATGTGAAGAACTTGTTTTTTTTGCAAACTTAAAAAAAAAAAAAATTTCACATAACATTTTGATCTTACTAAATTAACCTTTATGTTAATAGTGATAATTATGACTGTCATGTGATATTACTTTGTTACATAAATTCTTAGCTGTAAATAGAATGTCACAAAAGAAAAAAAAAATTAAAACACATGGTCATTTAATTCATATGATAGCATGTGATAGTCACTATATATTAACATAATTCATATGATAGCATGTGATAGTCACTATATATTAGCATGTTATATTGAAAGGAACTTGTTTAATTGTCAAAACAATGTGATGTGAACTTTGTGAGAGATTGTGTACCTCTTATACTCCATAATAATAAAACTTCTTTTGCTATTAAAAAAAAATTAACATAATGGTTAATTTGCTAAGATCGAGATATTTAGGGGTGCTTGTATATGCCACTTTTTATCTTTGAGTGCTTATGTGAGAAAATGGGAAAAGTTTAGAGGCTTGATACTAGGTTTTGTCTTTTTTCTTTTTCTTTTTTTTTTTTTTTCTTCCTCATAACCTATTGGATCAACATGATATGAAATAAACCCAAGAAAGTTGAAGAAATTAAATGTTGAATGGTATTGTTAATATATTATTATGGTGAACTTACATCTTACAAAAAGTGGCGGTTGAATCGAAGATCTGTCAAGTGAAATTCCTTAAACATTCAAGAAAAGTCAGGTCACGCCTCATGACATGCAGCTATCCATGGACAGTGAAGTGGGCAGTGGGGCTCGGACCATGTGACTCATTTGGATTTTGGTCCACCACATACGGCCAGACCCAGACCCTACCTTACTGCCTGCATCCCGCCTAGTTACACCGGCCAGTCAATCGGTTACAACTGGCTCTTGCATGTTTGCCACTGCTAGCATATATGGGGCAATTAAACCCACCTAATTTCAAGGTTAATATCCTTTTGGACTGAACAACGCTAAAAAAGTTATATTTAGAGTCTATTTGATTTATTTTTCTTTCCTCTCAAGTCAAACAGATCTTAATAAGAGTATAAAGATCATTTTCAACCTATGCTGTGCAATTTTTTTTAGTCACTATTGAAATTAAGTTATTGATTATTGATTCTTATTATAAGAACTTAGAAAAGTTATATTCATTTCCTCCTAATAAATTTGGTACTTAATTACATACTAGAAAAGAACTTAATTTGTATTCAACCGTCCTTTCTTAATTAGCATACACTTGGGATAATGGTTAATTACTTGAATTTAGAACCACACATTTAAACAAAAAAAGGAAAAGAAAAAAAGAAAGATTAAGATTGAATTATTATGTTGTACTTTTTCTCCATAATTTGATATTCATGGCGCAATAATGGTCGTTTTGACAAGGCAAAGGGATGTGACAGCATGCATGAAGAAGAAACATGTATATATAATTTTTATACATGTAATCGATATGCGACATTTAATTTCTTTGGTCTGGTGCATGTCTGTTGCCCCCACCCCATACCTCTTGCAAAAGCTAATGTATTCGTGACTCGTGAGTGACATAAAGACGCCGAGATAATTTGAATTTGATCTCTTAAAAATCATAACTCAATATTGATCCTAAATAGAGTAAAGGGTTTGAGCATGTGATCGAATCTATGTCATTTAACTTGGAAAAAGAAAGGAAGGAAGTTAGATTTAGATGATTTGAAAAGAAACGGAGGGATAAGAAGAAGAAACTTTTCAATTAGAACTAGCATTTTTATACTTTTATTTTGGAGTATTCTTTATTTTCTTAAATAATATATATTCTATTTAGATTTACTAATAAAAAAAATAGAACTAATACTTTTAAATATTTTTATATCCCATAAATAAAATATATGTGCTTTATCACAATTTTTAAATAAAAATGATATTTAAAATATTTATTAACAATATATCAGTTGATAACATAATACTATAAAAAAAAGTAATTGTTATTAACTAGTGACAAGTATCGCATTAGTATAAATTTATTCATTTGATAGATATTATAATTGTTGTTAATAAATATTATCAATAAATAGTGTAAATAAATTATTATAGACAAAGATCACTTCTTCTTCTTTTTTGATTAAGGCAAGTGGTTCAAGGGAGGGGGTGGGGAAGGAATCGAACCCTTGCTATAATGAAAAAAATTTACATTAAATTACTGAACCATTAGGTTGGCAAACCTTTTTCACAAAGATCATTTAATTAACTAGTCTTTGTGATAATAATTAAATAAATCAAAGTAAGGGAATGATGAGCTGGCAGCATAAGACGGTGGTGAGGAGGAAACTCAACAAAAATCCAAGAAACAAAAGAATAATATATATATATAGATATATCAATAAAGCTGAAAATGACAAATCAAAACAAATTGGTTAATTACTGAGAAAACTTGTTCTTTTCTCAAGAATGAATAAAATGATCAATGAATTTGGTAGTGTAAAGACAGAAAAGCATATGGCTCCTCAAAACAATAAACATTGAACAAACATATAGACAGTGCATCTCCAAAACAAGTCCAGGCTTCTTCTCACTATGTTGTGTTGTAGCTTAATGTCCCAGATGGGTGCAGTAGTGTGGGTGTGGGGACTCTGAGTCAACTCTTTTTCATCTTCCTGGTCCGACCTCAAACTCAAACTTTTGTTATGTAGTTTAGTGATGTTGTCTTTAATTTGATTCTGAAATTATAGACGCCAACACAGTACTAATTTTTTTTTTTTTTCTGTTCGTGGACATATATATAGTTATAATCAGTCACCCCGAATGCTCCTAGTCTTTTGTATCAAAGTTATTTATTAATTACACAATTAATAATATGTGAATACTCTATTTTAATATATATATATAGAAAGATTGTGAAAAATTAGGATGTTTTGACAATTAAAATATCAGAACTTTTTATAAAATTATTTAAATATTTTTAATGAATCAACATAAAAGAAAATTTTATTAAAAGTATTTACATAATTTCATAGAGTCCTAGTGTTTTAAATATCACTTTTCTATGTAATTAGGATCCATTTACATATAAGTTTTACACATTATACTTATACAAAATCTCAACTATTTATTTTTTTATTTTTTATAGTTGAGATTTATTTACATTTATTAAATATAATCTTTTTCACCTAAAAAGTCTCACAAATCATATTCAATTAAAGTGAAAAGATTAATGATTGTGATATTGTGTAAATGTGATGTGTAAGATTTGTATGCAAATAGATCTCTCTTCATACATATATATATATATATATATCAGATGATTGAATTATATAATAAAAAATAATTTTTTCCTAATTAATCTCTCTTCATCTTTTTCAATAATTCAAACTTAAGACTTTCTTTAATGTTAGAATAATTTAGCCAAAATCATGTGAATGGCCATGTTGCTTTTTTAGGAATAAGTATTGAGCATGTTGTTGTCAAGCAATATGAATTAGAATTACTCTCTCGCTCTCTCTCTATCACTATCTCGTTTCACATTTCACATTTCACACACACAGGCAGAATAAAATAAGTGATGATGGGTTGGGCGGCATATTGCATATATTGGGGACCGACCCACATCTTTTTTTTTCAACAAAAAAAACCCACTTAAAGTGACAGGATTTAGCTTTTAAATGAAGTTGATTAAGATTTAAATTAAGAATTTTGCTGGAACAGTTTTCCATGAGCATGTCTGTTGGAATTCAATCACAGAACCAATCATCGTAATGTAGGTGCACACAGAAGGGAAAGAGGCTTTGCTTTTTAACGCTTTTACCCACCATGTAAAAAGCCTGTAATCAATCCCTGCTTATTGTTAAAATCCTTTCATCTTTTCCTTCTCTTAACTTTTGTCTTCTTTTTATGGAAAAGGGAAACAACTCTGCCGTTCCTCTCCTTTACACTTTTTTAAATTTTTTTGTCTTTCCCTCAGGCATCCTCTCCTGGAAAGCCCTTATTATTCGGTTACCTTCTTCTGTTAAAAAGTTAAACATGTCTAACAAAATTAAAAAAATAAAATAAAATAAAACATGTTAAGATATATGTGAAATTTATGTCTTTCTTTACCATAACTATTTAACCGTTAAAGGATTTTAGTAACTTTGTTAATTGACAGATAAGATGACGATGATGTGAGTGTGTAAAATGTGAATAAAATCTGAGATTTTTTAGAAAGAGAAAAATGGAATTTTCTGATAAAAGTAAAATTCATTAATTAAAGAAGAAGTTTACTAAGACTGAGAAGAGAACAAAAGAAAGGACAGAAAGTGCAACGTCACCACACAAACCTTTTGGCTTGCGTTTTAGTTTTTGGATGGGTGGAGTTGCTCTCAGGAATCCCTCTTCTCTTCCTCCTCCTCCACATCTCTCTCTTTCCTTTTCTTTTCCTCTGCTGTGTTCTGGATTTCTTTTCTTGAACTTGAATCCTCTTGGTCCTGGTCTCCAACTCAACTAGAAAGAAAAGGTTTGAATTTTATGTCTGTACCATATATGTTTTGTTTTATCATCTCTTTTATGTTCTTCTCATTTTTTTAATCTTTTTTGGTTATCAATTCAGCTATTTGAAAGATTTGAAAGGAAAAAGGAGTGGGAGAACCATCAAAGAGTCACTGGATGATGATTTGAAGCAAGAAGGGAAGAGGAAGGAAATCAAATTAGCTTTTGTTGCTTGTAGTAACCTTTTAAAACTAGGGTTTAGTTTCAGATCTCAGCATGTATGTCTTGTAAAAGGTGATATATATGTAGTTCATCATGAGTGAATCATTGTAGTTTGTGTCATCATCCACTAATTAAATATATAGAGAGAGGGACAGAGAGATGATAAGAGGTTTGGTAGTGGATGAGAATATGTCCAATTTGACTTCTACATCTGGTGAAGTAAGTGCTTCTTCAGGAAGCAGAATTGAATACCCACCACAACAGTCTGTTGCTTCATCAAATCAAGCAGCACCTCAAAAGAAGAAGAGAAGCCTTCCAGGCAATCCAGGTTAAAAAGAAAGTTTTTTGATTGATTCCCAATTCCTATTTGGTATTTTAGCATCAGGTTTTCACTTTTTTCCCCTTTTCTGATATGGGTTTTGGAATTATTTGAATTTGAATCAGATCCAGAAGCAGAAGTCCTAGCTTTATCTCCCAAGACACTGTTGGCCACCAACAGATTTATCTGTGAGATCTGTAACAAAGGGTTTCAGAGGGATCAGAATCTGCAGCTTCACAGAAGAGGGCATAATTTGCCTTGGAAGCTGAAGCAAAGAACAAGCAAAGAGGTGAGGAAGAAGGTGTATGTCTGTCCAGAGCCTACATGTGTGCATCATGACCCATCAAGAGCTCTTGGAGACCTCACTGGGATCAAGAAGCACTTCTGCAGAAAGCACGGTGAGAAGAAGTGGAAGTGTGAGAAATGCTCAAAACGGTATGCCGTTCAATCAGATTGGAAAGCTCACTCCAAGATTTGTGGCACCAGAGAGTACAGATGTGACTGTGGAACCCTCTTCTCCAGGTAAATACTAAAAGTCTTTACCTCCATTTCCACCATGTTCAAGAAGAATGAATATCAATAATTCACATTTCACATCCACTCAAAAGAACTGAGCCTTTTCTTTCCACATTTTAATCTTGCTTCGTTCTCATTTTTGTTTCAATAATGTACTTGTTTTATACAGTAAGTATGGTCTTTTGGTCCTCGTCCAATCAGTCATATTTTACCGCAAGATCTCAACTTTGGACGTCCATGGATTACCTTCACATATGATATTATTTATTTGAGAATTAATAATTTTTTTTGTAATGGGTACTTGTAAAAGTGGTTAAATGAGGAAACTTTTAATGGTTACATCTACAATGCCTTTTGTCCTCGGGGAAGAAAAAGAAGGAAAATACAAAAGTAGTACAGTGCTGTTCATCCTTTTGATAATTTGCTCTTTTTGTTTTCTTCTGCTTGTGTTTTTATGGCCGCAGGAGGGACAGTTTTGTCACCCACAGAGCCTTCTGCGACGCTTTAGCAGACGAGAGTGCCAGAGCAATCACCACTGCCAACCCACTTCTCTCCTCCGCACAACCGTCGGCCGGTTCCTCTTCAATGTCCAATTTGGTCAATCTACAGCAACCCCTCTCGGTGAAGAGAGAACAGGATCATCATTTTAGCGGAAAAACAGACAGTGTTATTCCCTCGTGGCTAGCTTGTCCACCGGGAGTAGAAGTGGGTCCAGGTCCTTTTCCGGCGTTAGATCTTTCATCTTCACCGTTGTTTCCCTCTGCGAGTTTTGAAAACCCTAGTTCTGCACTTCCTCCCTTCCAGGCTGCTGCTAGTACGGTTTCTCTGCACATGTCTGCAACTGCCCTCCTACAAAAGGCGGCACAAATGGGCGTGACCATGAGCAAACCCTTACCGTTGTCTGAAACCACCGCACGTGAAGACATGGGAAGTGGGTTGACGTTTCCTGATCATCACGGCTTGGCATCATTCGGGAGCAAAGCTTCCAATTTCATGGAACAGGTAGCCTTTTCTATCAACGTATAGAAGGTAGTGTTTAGTTTTTGATTTTGGTTGACCAACAGACTCATTTGTCTCCCATCTCTTAATTAACCACACCCCTGCATGAATCATGCAGTTTAAATCCAATATCTCTTATTTTGAAATTATTGCTGAAGTTTGAAGTATTTTATTTTGATCCAGAATGAAAATTTTTATACGGTTAATGTTTGTTTATGTGACAGACAAGTGCTAGTGCTACCGGAGGAGTAGCGGCAGCAGCTCCATCATTTCTGCATGGCATGATGAGCACTTTGGCTCCGGTGGGTGGGTTTGACGGCTCCTCTTCCCATTTCCCTCAGACTTTCACTGGGATGTTGAATCCTACACAGAGAGACTACAATTTTCAAGAAAATCTCCTGAAAACGACGGAATCCCGAGCAGGCTTAGGAGTACACGACGGCTTGACCAGAGATTTCTTGGGTCTAAAGGCTTTTCCAGCTGGACTTAATGCCATGAACAATCCTTCTTCTTCAGTTTATGGGCAACACAACCAGCAGGGTCAAATGTCGTGGCAAGGTAATTAGGTTAAGCTCCAAGGTGCAATCTTCACCTTTTTCTTTGGCAAATTAAAAGAGTTCTTCAATATATATATATATATATATATATATTTCAATCTTTTGTTCTTCTCATGAGACTGAGGAGAAAGAAGAAAGCAAAACTGCAACTTATTTTTCTGTGGTAATATCAATATATACAGCAACAATACTAATCCCTTCGATTTTGTTAGCTTTTTTTTTTTTTCTTTTTCTTTTTTTTTTTTTTTTCTTTTTCTTTTTTTAAATTTTAATGTGCAATTTTTTTTCCTGACATATACAGGCATAAGGTGCATATATATTCCATTCAAAAGAAATATAGGGGTGTTTGGTTTGGGGTTTCGCTAACAGTTTTTAGTTATTGGTTTTTATTAAATGAATTAGATATTTTTAATTATAAATAATAACTATTACAAACTTTCAAAAATTAATTATCAATTATTAATTACATTTAAACAATTAATTCAAATACTACATAGTAATTAGAATTTGTTTCCAACGCTACATTAAATACACTAGCTAGTTCGATTCGATGTAGGATGCAATCTTAAAATTAACTGAGAATGAATTAGTTTCAAAATATATAAAAATTAATCCAAAACCCCCCTAATCTAAAATAAATGATAACCCAACCCAATTAAAAACCGAAAGCAACTATGGGCCTCCCTAAAAGCCCAATCCATGATGCGGCCTATCATTTGAAGCCTCAGGCAACCCTATTTAAAAATATGAAATGTTTTGGTTTTTAATTGGATAATAAATTTTTATTTTTTATTTAAAGATATAAATTTTGTAATTTTTTATTTAAAAATACAAGCTTTATTTTATTCAAATTAAGATTGTCATTTGGCACATTATCATCATTATTCAATAAATCTTTAATAGAAAAAATGACATTTTATTTTTTTATTTAAAAACCAAAAAAGTTCTCATTTTTGAATAAAAAACTAACAAAATTTATATCTTTATCTATACATTTCTTCAGGGTTTCATAAATAGTGAATATTCATAGTAAAGAGTTTTTAAAGAAGATTTATAGAGTAACTAATCAAACCATTGGACAAAAGCCATTTTCTCACATTTATAATCGCGATTCAAACACTTATTCTCCTTTTTCGTCCTTCTTCTCATCTTTCTTCTCATAAGGGTTTAATTGCAAATATTTGAATTTTGAACAACTCCCAATATTAAGAATTCAATCTTTATTTTTTTTTATTTCGATTGCATAATAAAAAATAATTATCTCTCATCTCTTATTCTATTCCACTCATATGTCATATGATTCAAATTTAGAATCTCTTACTTTCAACAGAAGAAAATAATTACTAAACTATTTAGGTAGTTGACTTATTTAAAATTTAAATAATGTAATCATAATACTTTAACTCAAAGTAAATAATAAGCATAATTCAAATTTCCGAAAAGAATTGCTAAAGATAAGACGTTTTAGTAATTAAAATATTAAAAATAACATTAATAAATTTAAATATTCATAATGAATTAACACACCAAGAAAATTATATATAAACAACTTCACATACACTTTCTAATTTTCAGTATTCTCTTAAAAAAATTAATTTAACAAAATATTTTAGAGATAGAGGGCATCTTGGTCATTCCACACAAAGATAGATATGAGCTGCTGATGCACTTGACTTTGGTGCACAGATTACAACCCCACACAGCTCCAGGGGGAGGGCCGTTTCGGCACTAGCCTTTTTTCACTCGCGCCGCGCGTGGACCGTCTTCATCCCTCGCTTCCTATTTTCCTTCATTTTCTCAGCTGCCAAACGCCCCGGCTACAGGCAATCCCACGTTTCAGGCTCAAGCATTCACTTGAAGGCGTGAAACAGAGCTAAGCGTATAGGATTCGGAGGATCGGAAAATTTCGATTTCTAGTTAGGCGATGGCTTGGAAGAGTCTAATCACGCAGGTTCAATTTCATTCTTTTACAGGATTCGTTTTTCCATGGTGTTTTCAAATTTCTTTCGGTATTTAATATGAATTTCGACGTCGACATAAACCCTAAGATCACTAGTTCAGGAATTTTCTTGAGAACGTAATTAATTTTGCTGGTATTCATCGTGTTTCATTCTGGCACTGATTTTATTGGTTTGCGTGCTGAATCCGGATTTTTGTTATTGTATATGTTAAAGTTTTGTAATATTGGAATGAATTCGAGCTACCTACTAAGAGAGAATTAGGTCTTACCCAAAAACAGAAAAGGGAATTAGGGAATTGAGTTTTGAAATCTTCCATTTAATTTGTCGTTGTAGTTAATAATAATTCAGTTTTTCTTAGCTGATTGGGTGCCCTTTTCATTAACCAGTTGTACCTGCTGTAAAGTGGTATTTTTTGTCACCAAGGTTGACTTTGTTAGTAGATAGCAATTTTTGTTGGGAATATCTGGAATGTTTATTTTGCACAGAACGTGTTTTCTCTTTTGCCCCATATCAGTGCTCGGCAAAAGAAGTAATCTTTAGCTACATATAATTGCTACAAGGCTTAGTTGAGTGTCTCAAATTCAATTAATTATACACGAGAGTACACCTGCTGACTGAAGTAGAAATTTTAGATGTTAAAATTAATGTTTTTTTATTGTCAAGACTCAAGAGCGAATTTTATTTTCTTGCTATGACAGGCTTCAAGGCATCAATCAGATTGGAGGCAGTTAAAAACTTTATTGACTAAAACCTATTTTTCTGCAAGCAATTCGAGAGGCAATGGAGGTACATACATCTCTTTTTTATTCTTTATTTTTTTCCAAAATTTTTGTATCTCTTTGTTATCATTTACATAATTTCTTGTTTATGCATAACAAACTTGGCTCTCTCATACAGGGACTTCCTGTTGCACCCTAAAATTAGTTGCCCATGGGTTTATATGCAGTCAATATGTTTTCTCTTTTCTCTTAATCCTCCTTTCGATTTATTCTCAATGATTCTTTAGTGTTGCATTCCACATTTTAGGGTGACTTCGAGGCTTGGTTTATTTTAACATAAGTCAATTGAAATATCGATTGTTTATTTACCAAAAGATTTTGAAATGTTGATCATTTTTCTCCATGTGTCTTGGTTATTAAGACAAGCTGATGTTTTTTGGTCCTTCTATTGGTGTAGTGAATAGGCTTCTGGGCAGTCAGCAGAGGTTTAGGTCAAGTTATATTAGCAGTTTTGGTCGCCGAGCACGTGCTGCAGATGAAGCAAGTGGATATGCAAATCTTCGAGAGCTTTACCGCCAAAATGATCCTGAAGCTGTGATCAGAATATTTGAAAGTCAGCCATCTTTACATTCTAATCCTTCAGCACTCTCAGAATATGTCAAAGCATTGGTCAAAGTTGACAGGTTGGATGAAAGTGAGTTGCTCAAGACATTGCAGAGAGGTGAGTGGTGGAAGCAGCTACCTCCATTATAACTGATTATCTGCATTTATAGCTATATGGTCTTTGCCTTTAGAGTTTTTAAGATATTAGTTTTCCAGCGTGTTTTCCTTGTTTGTGGCTTGGAGATATGCCCTACTTTAGTGGATAATGTTATTGGCACCCGCCTTGCTTCATATATAAGATTTTCATGTTTATGTATCTTCGTAGAGTTTTGCAGGTTATCAAATGAAAACTTACCAGATTCCTTGGAATCTTAATAATTTGTTTGTGTTCTTCAGGTTAAAAGAGTCTATAAAACTTAGTTTTTGATTTTATGAACACCCTCATTCTTTGCTTAGCGGTTTTGAGGATATTTTCTTCTCAGCATTTCCCCTCCTTTTTGTATTAGTATTGGTTTGCTGAGATTGTATACAAAATTTTCAGGTGTTGCTAACTCAGCAAGAGCTGAAGAAAGTATAGCTGGCCTTTCAGCTTTACGGAATGTGGGGAAACCTACAAAAGATGGTGCCCTTGGAACTGCTGCTGCTCCTATCCATATGGTGACTGCAGAAGGAAGTCATTTTAAGGAGCAGTTGTGGCGTACAATTCGTACTATTGCACTTGGTTTTCTGTTGATTTCTGGTGTAGGAGCACTTATTGAGGATAGGGGAATTAGTAAAGGTAAGATTTGAATTCCACAGAGGTTCTTACTTTGGTCTGTGTACGCCTTGGATTGATGAAATCCTTTTTCTTTGATTTTTCACAAACCAGGACTTGGTTTACATGAAGAAGTTCAACCTAGCATGGAATCTAACACAAAATTTAGTGATGTAAAGGGTGTTGATGAGGCAAAGGCAGAGCTTGAAGAGATTGTCCACTACCTCCGAGATCCTAAGGTATTGCATTTGTTGCATCTGACAACTCTTGGACTCTCTCTCTCTCTCTCAAAAATATTATACATGCACGTACCTAAGTATCCACATTCTCTGATATGCTTTAGCATAAGACTTTAAAATGTATGTGTCATTTTTTTTGTTGGTGACTGGATCTAAATTGGTTTTAGATGTGCTGGAAATACTCTCTTAGGTGCTGTCAGTGCAAGGGAGGTATATAATCCTCTTTGTTAGTAACAATGAAGGTCATTTCTATTTCTATTTCTATTTTTTCTCAAATGTTTGGATTTCAAATGTGCCAGACAATCAGGGAGGTGAGAGTTGGGATGAGATTTAAACTTCCTTCAGATAAAGATATATTTCATTTATCATCTCGGTTTATTTTAGCATTATTTTGGATTACAAATATCCAGTCTCTGCTTAGTTATTCTACTTTACTCATACAGCAAAGTTGTTCTCTGTCTTTGCGATTTATTTGATTTTCATTCATAATTTTCCTTGGAAAGGCCTATTATAGTTTTGTGTCATTACTCATAAATACCATACAATAGGCTTTACATTGTTCCAAAATTTACATCAAGGATGATAATAAATACTTGGGATGATATACATGTTATTTACTGTTCTTTTCCTTCACTTGTTTATGGCTCTTTTGCCTTTCCTATCTATCTTGCTTTTATAGAAGGGTTGATTTTTTTTTTCCCTTTTCCTTCTCTTTTTCTCTGTTGTACCTTTCCATGTTATAGCGATTTACTCGACTTGGTGGCAAGCTTCCAAAAGGTGTCTTGCTTGTTGGCCCACCTGGCACTGGAAAAACTTTATTAGCAAGAGCCATTGCTGGAGAAGCTGGGGTACCCTTCTTCTCATGCAGTGGTAGTGAGTTTGAAGAAATGTTTGTTGGGGTGGGAGCCCGGCGCTTGAGGGATCTTTTTGCTGCTGCAAAGAAGCGATCTCCATGCATTATATTCATCGACGAGATAGATGCCATCGGAGGAAGCCGTAATCCTAAGGATCAGCAGTACCTGAGAATGACTTTGAATCAGTTGCTTGTTGAATTGGATGGATTTAAACAAAATGATGGAATTATTGTGATTGCTGCAACTAATTTTCCAGAATCTTTAGATAAGGCACTGGTGAGGCCTGGGCGATTTGACCGCCATGTTGTTGTTCCTAATCCAGACGTGGAAGGCCGGAGGCAGATTATGGAACTCCATATGTCAAAGGTACCGTGTTTTCTCATAGAAAGGTTTATTTTATTTTATTTTTTACATGTTTAAGCTTGAGTCTGCAAATGCCAAGTGTGGTTTCTTCTGGTCCTGAATGGTTCTGAGATTGGCACCATGGATTGAACCATAGGATTGAATTGAGCGACTATTGTAGCTTTTTCATGGCAGTGCACACCCAGACATGCCCTACTGTTATAAAATTTATGGGGCATGATTGTTATTGTTGATGTGAGTGATTGTATTTTATATCTGTTTGAACTATCATGTCTAGATGATGTGAATGAATAACCATTCATACTCGGTGCAATTACAGGTGTTGAAGGCTGATGATGTTGATTTAATGATCATTGCCAGAGGTACTCCTGGATTCTCTGGTGCTGATCTTGCAAATTTAGTCAACATGGCCGCTGTTAAGGCTGCAATGGATGGTGCCAAAGCAGTCACAATGGCTGATCTAGAGTATGCAAAGGACAAGATCTTGATGGGAAGTGAGCGAAAATCAGCTTTTATTTCAGATGAGTCACGAAAGTTGACAGCTTTCCATGAGGGTGGCCATGCTCTTGTTGCTATCTATACTGATGGGGCTCTTCCAGTTCACAAGGCAACAATAGTCCCCAGAGGTAATGCCCTCGGTATGGTCTCTCAGTTACCTGAAAAGGATCAAACAAGCATTTCACGCAAGCAGATGCTTGCAAGGCTTGATGTTTGCATGGGAGGGCGAGTTGCTGAAGAGATCATCTTTGGAGAAAATGAAGTTTCTTCTGGTGCATCGTCAGATCTTACACAGGCAACTAAACTTGCAAGTACAATGGTTACAAAGTACGGCATGAGTAAGGAAGTTGGACTCGTCACACATAATTATGATAGCAATGGTTCAAACATGAGTACGGAGACTAGGCTCCTGATTGAGAAAGAAGTGAAATTATTGTTGGACAGGGCTTATAACAATGCAAAAACTATCCTCACGACGCACAGCAAAGAACTCCAAGCACTTGCTAACGCGTTGCTTGAACGTGAGACACTTACAGGAAATGAGATTAAAGCTCTGCTTGCTCAGTTCAATTCCCAGCAACAGGAACAACAACAGCACCAGCAGGCAGTTACACCATCAAGCAGTTCCCAATCCGACCAGATGCCTCCATCAGGCCCAAATCCGGCAGCTGCTGCTGCAGCGGCTGCAGCCGCCGCAGCTGCTGCGGCGACTGCTGCAGCAAAATCTAAAGGCATTGCTCCTGTTGGATCTTAGCAAAGGAAAAGACTGGTAGACTCTTGCTAATTAGCCATTTTCATTTTTTTTTCTTATTTTTTATTTAAACTCTCAGAAGATTTCCAAGGGAAAAAAAATAATTATTATCAGGAAGCCACTGGACGTTTGACAGTTTGTAGCATAAATTGAGCATGAAAAGTCTTGTAATCACTCTTATATTTTATCTTAATCGGATTTTAAATATATACTCCATAAACAATTATTATAGCACAATATGGTATAATCACTCAATTAATCATAACCATTGTTACCTACCTATGGTCAAGAAGAACCATGTTGACATGGGATAGGATAGGATCGGCTGGTAGGGTTAACTTCTATTTTTGTTGGGTTTGGAGGTTAGGGTGTTGGGTCTAGACACACTCTCTCCTAAGTAAATCTTAAAGATGTATCTTCCATATCAACAAGATTTGAATATTTATAAAATGATCTTTACTAATTGGTGAATTCTAAATCCAACCTTAAGTTGTAAGATTTACTTTATAAACAGCTTTTGGATGTTATCAGAAGTTGAATGAAAATATTACAGTAAATGATTGTTTATTTCCCATCCAAATAAGACAAGCAATCAAGCACATATGCCATATTTGCTATTGTATATGGTATACTTCCCGCATCAGGAACCTTAGAGTCATCTATGGCTGGTATTCCTCTTGTAGATAATTACAACAGCTTGTTAAATTGGATCGGGAAGAGGATTTGCAGGAATTCCTTGCACTTATCCTTAATCAAATTGGCTTGGAACGCAACCGTGTATCATGTATGGATAGAGAGGAACAAAAGAATTCATCAACAGATATACAGACCAGTGGCAACAATTGTTGATGAAGTCCAACGAGATGTCAGGGATAGAATTTTGGGTTTTGCTAGGCCATAATCCTTCCCCTTGTCCCCTTCTATAGCTTTAAATTGGGGGATTGAAAATTTTGTTCAATAATTAATTTTTGTAAAATGTACGAAATGTGCTCGTTCTTTGTAGCAGCTTTATTAGCTACCAAAAACTTGTATGTGGATAGTTGCTGGATAAATAAAATCATTCACATTTTATTCCAAAAAAAAAAAAAAAAACATAACAGTCCTGCATTCGAGAACTCTAGTGATATTATCTCTCGTGGGCACCTGATTACCGAGTTTTAGATTAAAACGCCGGATCACTGATTCAAAACCGATGCAGGAGCATCTGCAAGAGAAGAAAGTTACTTATGAGATGCATCAACTTGAGTGAGGCATCTACCGCTGTAGAACACTTGATCAGGCTTTCACTGTCTTCGGTTTCACTCCAATTTTTCTCCAGGAAACATTGGGCATGATTTGTTTCTCGTCTACACGGTCCTTGAACTTGATGGCAAAGTTGAGTAATGAGTCAAGAAGCGAGTCTGAGAGAAGATGTGGCTGGAGTCCCAACTCAATGAGTTTAGTATGCTTTGCATTGTAATGATGTTCCTCTGCCTCCACTCTTGGGTTGGGCACGGATTTGGTTCTAACGTCAAGACCAAGCTTTTCTCCTGCTTTTGTAACTAGAGCTGCAAGTTGATTTACAGAAAACTGCTCAGTGAATTGATTGAAGATCCGAAATTCACCAGGTTGTGGTGGATTTGCTACGGCAAGTTCAACACACTGAACTGTGTCTCTTATGTCAAGGTAACCCCTCGTCTGGATTGGAAAATAGAAAATAAGTAACAAGAAACATACCATTCTACCAATACAGTAATGACCCTGTAGTATGATTGAGAGAACAGCATACGAGTCAGAGACATTAGTTTTTAAGGAAAACGCAAAATAACAAATTACCTGGCCTCCTTTTCCATAAACAGTAAGTGGATGACCAACAGCAGCCTGAACACAAAACCGATTCAATGCTGTTCCAAATACTCCATCATAATCAAATCTGTTGCAGAGCTCTTCATGCATCGAAGTCTCTTCAGTCCTCACTCCATAAACCAATCCTTGATTGAGGTCAGTGGCTCTGATTCCCCAAGCCTTGCAAGTGAATGCTATATTATGTGAATCATGAACCTTACTGAGATGATAGAAAGAGCTTGCTTGCTTTGGATAAGGCAAGGTATCTGTCCTTCCATTATGAGTAATTGTAATATAACCCTCCTCAATATCTATGTTTGGAGTTCCATACTCTCCCATTGTTCCCAGCTTCACTAGATGGCATTGCTCTCTGAATTCCTTTATTGCAAAGAGAACATTCAGTGTTCCAATCACATTATTCTGCCGAGTGAACACAGCTCTTGATCGATCAATCATCGAATAAGGGGCAGAACGCTGTTCCCCAAAATGTACGACAGCATCAGGTTCAAATGACTTGACGGTGTCTGATAGGAACTCAAAGTCAAAAATATCACCAATATAAAGTTCAATAGTCTTTCCAGTGAGATCTTTCTAACAACGGATGCGGTTGTGGATGGAGGAAATGGGTGTCAAGGAGTCAAGACCAAGTTGGTGGTCAAAGAGACGGCGAACAAGGTTGTCAACAATCGCAACATCATAATCTTTCTTAGACAAGTGGAGAGCAGTGGCCCAACCACAGTAGCCATCTCCACCAATGACCATAACTCGTTGATGCTTGGATGGTTTATTTGAGGACTGATGAGTCCCAGAATTGGATTGAGCTGAGACTTCTTGACTTGCTGACACAGCATTTGCTTGAACCTTACAACATTTTCCCCTGCTGTCTCCTTGAAAAACAAGCCTTTTGAAGGCAGATTTGGAAGTTTGAAAAGTAAAAGAGGTAGGAAGTGCTATTTGGACTCGGTTCAGTGGTTGATGATAGGATTTGTGGCCAGAGGAGATCTTCAAAGAGCATGAAGTTGATAGCAAATGCGCCATGTTAGTGTTTGGTTCTACCAACTCAATAATAGGCACATGCACCTGCAAAATATCAAATTGGTTTACAAAATGATCACTTTCACTATCCAGAAGCAAATACACTAGAAAAATAATTTAAAGCTGAGAATATGCAAACAATATTATTGAATCCGGTCCTACAGTTGGCTAGTAAACTGCATCTACGCACCCAAAAATCTGGGAATGAATGCAAACAATCTCATTTCCTTAACATTTCCTTTCTTAAACAAAATTCTACTTCTATACAAAACATCCACTTCAATAATTCAAAGATACTGATTGTAGAACAATCTATTTTCCACTATTCTGTTTTGTAGTTAAAGTTCAGTGCTGATGCATGTATCGCCTCCAACACCGTTCTTGTTAACAAACTTCCATGCTTGCTAGCTTTTGACGAGAATAGAACATTTACTCATAAAGAAAAACAGGTAATATACAAGAAAAAAAAAAAAAAACCCTTTACGCAATTCATCAGAAAAATATTTTAGCTCATACTAGAATGTGTTTCCAACATCATTTTCTCTGGTTGGGACAAAAATAACAAGCATGTAAGCTGCATAGCTGAAACAGTGAATCCTACAGCCAAACACCCTCGAGAAACATTAATCCCTAAGAATCCAACACATCTCCAAGAGATTAAGTAAATGCAATCCTAAGAATCGAGTAAACTGATGAAAAAATCAACAAAACTGGAAAACAAGAGGGAGTGGGGGCAATCCGTAATCCAAAACCAGTGGAACAAAGAAGTGCTTACCTTGGGAGAAACAAGAAGAGGTTGTCCGAAAAGGGATAGTAGAGCTTAGGATTTGGACAGAACACAGAAGAGAAGAGCCGAGTGTTGACCGTGTTGATATTCTACATTTACATTATTTCTGGAAAGCATAGAAACTTAGCAGAGGGGATATTCGTTTGTTTTATTGTCCGTCCGAGAGGATAATGGCTTGCTAATAAGGACACCAAAATACCTCCATTTTCAAGCAAAGACACTAACTCAAATTCGTTTAATGTAGATTAAATGGCAATTTTAGTCTCTAACTTTTAATTTTAAACATTTTTCATCTTTAAAATATTTTTTATATATAGTTTTATCTTTAAACTATAAAAATTGCACTTTTAGTCTTTTTCGTTGATGACTCCATTAATTAATTTATTTATATGGACACATATATAATACCTAAATTTAAAGTTTAAAAACTAAAAACATATGTATTATAAGTTTAGGACTAAAAATTTGTATGTTGAGAAAATACATTTTCATAATCTAAATCTAAGAATCAAAAACTGCCAAAAAGTAGTTCATAAATAAAAAGTACACAAAATTGAACATGTAAGAATTAAAATTAACGCACTTGCGGCCTTAGCCGCGATGGCAGTACACCTACGCCCTTGCCTTCTTTATCAAGGGTTTAAGCTGCTAATGCGATAATATTATATTTTTTTTTTCCCCCAATTTTTCACTGGTCAAAAAGAAAAAATTAAAATTGACATTTAACCTTAAGGACAAAGTGAACGGAAACCCCAAGTAAGATTTTCTTGGGCCAACAAGCCCCAATAACATGAGCCCCAATTTAAAAAAAATAGCCCAGATTGTAGTGTGGGTCTTCACAGATAGGAGGATGAGCCCAAGATACCGCAGGGCCACAGTCCGCTGTAATTGCATGACTAAGGACTGAAAGCAATGAGATTGACAAAAGCATCATAGAGATTCCAAAACCAATCTGTATTTATCATAATGTCTCATACATGGAAACTTAAGCAAACATGGGAAGAGTGACGTTCCCTTGATGTCTCTCCTCAAATGGTGTTATCATACATTCTCTGAGAATTCATATCCAACTAAAAAGGAACAGATGCTCTGTCCTCTCCAATCAAAACTGGCTCATCACTCTGCTGTAAAATTTAAATATCACCAACTGTTGCCCGAGCCTCCAGTGTAGCTTCAAGCAGCCGGGACCTTTTTCCCATCTTCAATGAAGAATATAGCAGATTCAGGCACCTGAAAGGATGAAAAGTACAGGAAAAAATTCAGTTCATACTGCTTGAGCAAGATCAGTGTAGCAAATGCTACTAGTGTAGAGACAGGTTTTTGAAAGAGAAGAAAAAAAATACTTCTTTCCAATCAAAAATGAAAAAGAATTCACCATTCTCTTACGCAACAGTTGCATATAAAAGGAAACAAATAAGAAGATGGTTAAAGAAATTACATCAGGCCAGGTCTCTGTAATGAAGTCCACAATATCGTAAGCTATATCCCCTTGAACATCAATTTGTTCCTTTTCAGTTGGCCCCTGAAGTTATTCAATTGTTAGAAGATTGTAAGAACAT